ACTTATCGAATCGGTCTAAAATCATTCGGTCAATTTTTTACCAGATGTCCCAAAATTTATGAGAACAGCTGTAATAACCGGGTGAGCTTTTAAATAAATAAAATTATTCGTTTCTCATCAGCAGCCGGGTCATATAAATATTATAAATGTTTTATCGGGTGAAAAAAAAAATTTTTTTTAACCAATCATATTTTAGAAAAGGGCTAATTTTTTTTAAAAAATAAATTTTTTTCCCGGGCGGCCGGGTCACTTTTTACTATTTATACGGATGAGAAACGAATAATTTTATTTATATGGCCCAAGTTATAAAATAAAAAAAAAGCCGCCCGGCCGGGTCTATTTAAAAGGTTTCAATGTTACGAAAACCAATAAATTAAATTTGCGTGGCCTTATTTTAATAATTAATAAAATAAAAAAAAATAGATACGTATAAATACATCTATACTATTTTTGGCAAAAAGAAAATACGTATTATATTTTTTAAACACTACGTATCTCTATATGCAACCAACAATCATGATTGTTAATATTTCCTAATAAGATAAATTCATACCATATGCGAATTGTATGTTATTTTTTTTTTAGAAAATGAACCACATTTAACGTTAGCAGTTAATGTGATTTACGTACGTACGTACTATTTGGGAATAATTCTATGATGCATATATCATATTATATAATTAAACTATTTTCGGAGGATCTACTGCTGTACAAATCAAGATCGCTACACGAAAAATGATCATGTTAGCAATCATGCGCAAATTGTTAATATTCGCCAAAGAAGTTACAATCACGGATACCTTTACAGTTATTATTTTGATTTAGCCTTCAATCATACATAATTCAAATGAATTGCATTTTGCATTTTTCAAATCATTTGTATTTTGTGTTCATTAATTCTATAGCGAAGCACCATTAGACATAAAAAAATATGAATAGATATATTTGTCTAATGACTTTTTCCCATTAGACTATGTAAATGTTCAACCCTTGTAGAATTTTACAGTTTTATACTTGGGCATTTAATATTACCGTTATCTGTTAAAAATATCTAGTAGCCCGTGAAATACAGTACATTTTATACATTGCTCGAGTAACTTCATTTCTATCACTACAGTACTAGCTATTGTAGTATAAAATTAGCAAATAAAGTGTATGCGCATACTCACAAATATACAAATAAAGTTTACATTTCTAGAATGTAACACTAGATCATCGCACAGTAACAATGTGAGTTAGGGATTTCGGATTAATATGATTAAATTTATCGACGCACGTGCGACAAAATATATTAACAAAATTATATATAACGAAGATATAACGGTAATACAAAATAAATGACCCCGTAAATCATGAAACTTGTGCAAAAGAATTATTTGTACTCCTATTTTCACGCAAATATATTATTATTATTCGCTTGTGAGCATGGTTGTCCTTGTCTCGCCAATCTTTCTTGAATTGTTCTCCCTTGTTTTCTTCTATAGCTATCCAATATTTTTTTTAATTTAATTTTATTTTATTTTTTAATAAAGTTTATTTACCGACTTTCTAAAAGTCTATACTTTCCTTTCGCAAATATGAGCAAACTCAAGAATGGCATGACCGTGGATCGTGACGTTGATGACCTGGTTCGTCGTCCTCTTCAAACCTCTCAGGAGAGTTACTATTATTCAGAAGGGCATAACCACCATTCTGATGCACTATACCCTAACCACGGGTATCAACCATTTCAACAGTATGGATCCTCTCCTTTAGAAGCACATGAACAAATTTACCAGAGGGAAAACGGTTTTTATTCAACTTCGCCGTCTGTCCCTTCTGGTTATAATACAAACACAAGTTCAATAGCCTCTAAAGTTCAGCAGGACTATTATTTAGGATCTAATAACAATAATGTTCCCAAAAATTCAAAAACTCCAAATAAACCAACACCAATATTACCATCGATACCACCATCAATACCACCACCCGCACTGAAAGTACATGAACCCGCAAAACCATCTAGTTCCCCAAAATCTATTCTAAAAAATAATTCATATGTGCATACTACCCATTTAACACCAAATGGTGATAAATCCATGCACTCTTACATGTCAAAATCTCCAAAACTTTCACGTTCACCAATTAATTCTACAAGCTCACTATCATCATCACCTCAAATTAACGTATCAAATACACAGTTTCAATATAAAGTAGAACAACAGGTTAATTCAATGACTCAACCATTGGCACCAAAATTAACTAATATAAACACTCAGAATTTACCAAACAACATAGAACACCGGAGGTCTCCAGTATCTCCAGTACAATATACATCTTCCCCCATACAATCTACTAATGATAAATTACTACAAAGTTCACCTATACAATATTCAAACAATGCTCCTCCTCAATGGCATCATACTCAACATCAAAGTTCATCCATACAATACTCAAGTCATGCTGCTCCTCATACTCAGCATCAGAATTCGCCCACACAATATTCAAATCATGCTGCTCCTCAATGGCATCATAATCAGCATCAAAGTTCACCCACACATTATTTGTATCAAAATTCATCTCAAACTCCTAAACGTCAAAATTCTTCTGAATCTTCGAGTACCCAAAATTCTCAAGGCTACTCTCCGTCAACTCCAACTTCCAGAAGACAAAATTCAGCTGAATCAGGTACCCAAAATTATCAAGGTTACTCTTCTGAAATCCCGTCAACTCCAATTTCCATGCGGCAGAACTCAACTGATTCTTCGAGCACTCAAAATTCTTCAGGCCATTCACCAAGATATCCTGTTGATTCTGCTCCAAAATCTCAATATCCGTCAAAATTAATGCATAGAGTGAACAGTATGCGTTCTGCGAATAATTCTACATCTTCGCCACAGAATGTTGTGCCAGAATTTATAAGGCAACCAGTTACTGTAGAAGATTATATAGCGCAGGCTATTAAATATCACGAAAATGATCAACTTGAAAAGTCCACTCAATATTTTCGTATAGCTGCGGAACAAAATAATACTATAGGAATGATTTTTTATGGCCTTGCTCTTAGACATGGTTGGGTAATTATAACTTGATTTTCACATCACAAAATAATCCCGGCAATCTGGCTTTTAATTTCTTTATTATATCATAATTCCTGCCTAGATATTATATGCCCCGCCGGGTTATGAAAACAAAAAAAAAAAAAATTAATTTTATATTGTTTATTTATGAAATTTCATGAATAACAAATTTTTCATTAATTTTTTTAGGGATGTAAAACGGATACAACAAAGGCATTCAAATATCTACAAAAGGCTGCTGATTCCGCGACAGAGATGTTAAATAACATCAATGATACAACTAATTCGCAGGTACTTAAAACTGGTCTGGTATTAGCCATTTATGAATTGGGTATGTGCTTTAAACACGGCTGGGGTGTTCCAAAAGATAAGGCTAAGGCTGCTCGTTATTATAAGATGGCTGCAGATCAGGTAATTTATAACTTATATTTATTTTATCTTGTTACAAGCTAAATTATAATTTTTAATTCCACTATGAAATTCAGGGTGACCCCGATGCTCAAAATGACATCGCCCATTGCTACTATAAGGGTGAAGGCGTTAAAAAAGATATGAAAACTGGTATGTTGTGTTAAAATTCTGTTTTTTATTTTATGCGTTTGATAATTGTTGTAATATTATATATACATATTACCTAAACTTTCTTTTATAGCTGCAAAATATTACAGGATGGCTGATAAGCAGGGTTATGGTACTATGGGCAATTCATGGATTTTTAAGGAAAAGTATAATAATTGATTACATCAAAGTTTTGTTATAATTTTCAAATCTACAATATTGGATATGGATGACGATTCGTTGGTTTAACCTTGACCCGATAAATTGTTTTCATTTCATTTTTGTATGTACATAGTTACATAATTATTCATTTCATTTTAAATTTGATTATGAAAAATAGATTTATACGTATAGATGTAACATATAATATATTTCTTCAGGGGTCTATGTTAACGATATTCATCCCTTTCAACAAATTTATTTAATTCCTCATTGATTATACATTTATTATTAGTTAAATATTTTGAAAATATTTGTAAATTAATAATTTCATTCTTTACAACAGCTTTCTTAAATATCCTTTTTTTTTTTTTTTTTTTTTTATTCGGCTAGCGCGGCAGGTAACGTCAAATTACAAAAAAAAACATTATTATTATCTTAGTTTTCAAAAAAATTTTTTTCGATGAAACTTATAAAGTCTCTTATCAAGAGATGAACAGTTTTCATATGTAATTCAAAAAAATTTTTTTCGAAGAAACATAAAGTCTCTTATTAAGAGATGAACTAGTTACTATGCCATATCGGTAGTTTACATATGACGCTCTATTACACTGTGGTTTGTTAATTGGTGGATTCACATCTTTTCTACTCATATAGACATTGATTGATATCAATAATCTAACCACCTTTTATTTACTAAAAAGTAAATCCTAACGATACAAAGAGTTTTAACTCTTGTTTTTAATTTTTTCTTTGGATTTTTTATGCTTCAGTTTAGACTTGGTAGATTTAGACTTGGTAGAATTAGACTCGGCAGATTTAGATGTTGAATCAACTGATTCTTGATCGGTTTTTTTTCGCTTTATGAAAGCTGTCTGAATAAACATCAATATAATGTTAACAGTTAATAAATAACTTATAAAATTGATTTTTCAAATACGTACATAGCCAGGAAATTCATAATCTATCCCAAACTCTTCCAATCTTTTCCGCTTTTTATCTTCTTTTTTTAATAAATTATCAATTTGTTTTTTCTGTTCTTCCGGTGTTTTTTTCCTATTATGTTTCATCATAATTTCCTTTATATAAGGTTTTGGCTTAAATTCTTTATTCGCTCCAATCCACATCAATGGATTAATTTTCTCTTCTGGCACAACTTTACCTAAAAAAAAAAATAAACCAATTATTATATTATATATAAACTTATTAAATGAATAAATAAAAATTTTTGATAAAAAGTTTACATACAGCGAAGCAAGCGATCACATATAGAATAATTATCCATTGTTTCAGCTACAATTTGTGCAACTTCATCACTAGCGAATTCAATGAATGCAAAATGCTTTGATTTTCCAGTCTAATTTATTAAAAAGAAGAATTCTATCAGTTAACGTTTAATAAAATTACTTATAAATAAAATTTAAACCTTTTTATTTCTATACAATTTCAAACGCGTCACAGTACCAAATTGACTAAAGTATGACTTCATTTCATTTTCATAAAAGCCATGAGGTATCCTGCCGAGATAAATAACACCACGTTTCATTTTTTTTTTTTTTTCCAGCCGCGAAGAAATTAAGATTCTTTTTAGCTAGATTTTTTTTTTAGATGAAGGGCAAATTTTGAAATTTTTGGATCTGGCCGGCATTAAAAATTAAATTTCATAATTCTGGCCACATCACATGATTTAATTATTGCTAAAATTTTGCCATTCCAGCCTATTTTTGAAAACGTAGCAAATATTTCTTAACAACTATATAATTAAACTTAATGAAATTTTTTTATATTAATTATACAAGCTTGCATATTGAATAAAAATGGTTTTATCGGGTTTAACTAGTAGTTATCGGGAGCCCACCGTTTCTACCTCTAAAATAAATTACGATAATAAAAAAAATAATAATAAAGTAACGATAACGATAATAAAAAAATAATAATAAAAATAACGATAATAAAAAAAAATAATAAATAACGATAATAAAAAAAAAAATAATAAAAATAACGATAATAAAAAAATATATAAAAATAACGATAATAAAAAAAAGAAAATTTCTTAATTTACACATGGTGTATATACACATATATATTAATTTATTGATTTACGAATTTGTTTAACATATAAACTGTAAACGAAAAATTAGGTTAGGGTGAGGGTAGCTTTAGGTTATAGTTTATACTAAAATTTTGCAAGGAATATTTTTTGTTAGAACCCCAAAGGCTATTATACCGGGTGAGTGAAAAGTCTCTATACAAGTCCTTTTTTTACTATCTCCGCTACGATTTATAGTACTTAATTTTAAATACAATTTATATATAGTACTGTAATGATTACTATTTTAAAAAAAGGTCCTGTATAGAGACTTTTCACCCACTCGGTATAATCAGGATTTTGAAATATCAATATATGTGTGTACATAGCCTGGTGTACAAATAGCAATCATCTAAAAAAATAATAATAAAAATAACAATAATAAAAAAAATAAACTGATAAAATAATAAAAAAAAAATTGCCTTAAGTGTACTGTATATACAATAATTTGTATAATAAATTATATGGATGTTTTATAGAATAGGTGGGCAATATATAAAATAAACTCCGCTAATAATTAGTAATTATTAATAAATATTTAGCGGAGTTGCAGAGGTTGCGGAGTTTGCCCACCTATTCTATAGAACATCCGAGATAGGTTTCATGTGCATGGTTTGGAATTATACACATTTAAATTTTATATAGAAAAAAAAAAAAGACAAAATTAAAAAAAAGTAAAATTAGCTTAAAAAAAAAAGAAAAAAAAAATCTTTTTTTTTATTTTTTCTGATATGATGGATTTTTTTCAAAAAAAAAAAAGAACCAGCACTTTTATTTTATTAAATTTAAATATTAAATTAATGATTTGAATCAGTTGGTCTATAATCAGTTAATCAACCCAAACTAAGTAAATTTTAGTTAACTAGTTGAGAAATTCTTAATCAATTGATCTAGTATATCCAGTTGAGAATTGGATAATCAGTTGGCAGGATTAATATAAAATGAAAATGGGCAAATGTTCTAGAAAGTTTCAAAAAGAAAATGAATAAATATAAAAAAGAGTAAGTTGAACCAAAAATTTGAGCAAAGCTTCAAGAATTTCTAAAAGTAAAATAAAAAGTAAAAGTAGTTAATTTTAACTAATTAACAACTAGTTGAATAAAATAATTTGGTTCAGTTAACCAATTAAAGAAATTTTTCTTGGTTCAAATCACTATATTAAATAATAAATATAAATAGTAAGATACTTAATATTAATCACTAAAGCTTTTTTTATATACTAGAAAAATATATAGTATTGTTAGTAGGGTTCTCGGCATTGGGGTCCTTGGCATGCCACCATGGCATGATATAGAGTCTAAAGGCATGCCATTAATTATAATAATATATAAATATATAAGGATGCAGTTTATATTTTTTGAACTTCAGAAAAAATTTTTTTTAACCAATTAAATTAAACAAGCAAATCTTGTAATTATGGCATGCCATGGCATGTATCTGGCATGAAATTTAGAATTTAGCATGCTGCCTGGCATGCCAAATTTTTTTATCATGCCAAGAACCCTAATTGTTAGGTCCAGAGTATATTATATGATAATTATCTTATTACACAAATGTATAAATGTTTTGTTACACTAAATTGACAATTTTAAACACATGTATGGACGAACAAAAAATTTTTAATCTAATGTTTTTAACATGATCTTTATAATATTTATGCAGATACATTAAAAAGATAAAACTCAGTAATTAAATGCATCAAAAATATAATTTTTGTATCACTTTACATAAATACTAGGGTCCTTTGCTACGCTCTGGCCTGATCATATTAAGTTATTTATAGATTTTTGCTTGAATACATATGTATATAAAAAAATAAAATAAATAATAAAATAAAATAAAAATATAAAAAATCAATACTTATTTTGTTTTACAATTTTTGTATTTGTTGCTATATAAACTGGTTTATTATTATTAGTAGTTTAAGTAACAAATTCTAACTTTGCAATTCTTAATTTCCAATTTGTATAGCTTGCTAAAGAGCTATTTAAAGGTTATAAATATCTTTCTCTTTTATATTTTCTATTTATTAGCAATTGCAGTAAGATTTTACAAATTAAACTTCTTTATTATTATTACAATACATCTTTTCAAATTCGATATGCATAGTGGATAGCTTTTGTATTAGTTTTAAGAAGTTATTAGATTTGAAATACTAATGGTCTATTATTATATAATTATAACTAAATATAATTGACTAGATTATATTTTTTATATATATAATTTGTTATACAAAACCTAATCTAAGCTAATTAAATTGTTTTTTTGTTTTTTTTTTTAATATATTGATAACTTTGTACTGAAGATTAGTTAAACTTCATCATGCTCAAAGTTTTATAACTAAGCTATTTAACATTTATATTAGACTAAAGGCCAGCTACCTCTTTAGATACCTAACCTTGATTATCATACTAATATTAGCTACAATACCTTATATATAACATGACATGTTTAAAAATATTGTATAACCAGGTCTTAACTATTTATTGTTAGAGTATATATTCTACCTATATATTTACCCAAACTTCAGTAACTTTATGTTATAGCTTGACTCATGCACTTGGAGTCAGAGCTAACCATTAAATCTCTGCAACTAACTAGTATCTGTTGCACTACTATTACTAAGTTCATATCTTAAGTCACCCTTTTAGAATACTACTATAACCTAGTCCATATTTTAAGCTACAACCTTTCTAATTAGTTGCCTATTACTTACTTTTGCTCTTGTCAAGATTTACAACAACCTCAGTACCTACATTTAAACTATTTTCTTATCTGAATTCTTTATCAGTCCCTTCTTTACTTCTAGCTAGCAACCTAGAAGAGTCTGTCTACCCAGACTTTAGATGTCTGAAAAATGCCCTCCTCTTGGTACATAGTTTTGGAGTATATATATTTTTTTTCTGATGTGACAGAACCTAGTGATTCAGCTAGTATATCCTTTGTCATTAGGACCTGGTTGCTCAATTTTCTAATCTCAGACCTCAGTTTGAATTTAGCCCTTCTGTAGTATTGTCAAAGATCACTGCTACTCTTTAATCTAGAACTTTTCAAATGGGTTTTTGGTTATTCCAGTTCCTTAGATTTATTGCACCAAAGCTTCTATTACTAAATAATGTAACTGAGATTGTAGCTATTAACTATAACACAAGCCTATTTTTCAAATTTCAGTATTTATAAAATTTGAACTCTAGATCTATCACTTAGAAAGAGTAATAACTAAACCACTACACTAAGTTACTACACCACTATTAAATTGATTTATATTATCTATCAAAACTAATATTTTATAGATATTTGATCTTGTTGATATCAGTTATTAGAAATGGCAAATTATTAAGCTTTAATTATAAAATAGACATAGTAAATCAATTTTTATCAGTTATAGCAGATTATTGGATTTGACAGAATTAGTTTTGAGAGGGTGTATTGTATTTGCTTGATCTGCAAAAAAACAAATATAAAAATTAAAAAAGTTTAATTTTATAGATAGTTGTTGATAGGGTGTAGTGATGTAGCAAAGTGGTGGAGTTGTCACACCCCCAAGTTTGTTGGCTATAGTACTGAGTTCGAATTCCACTAGCGACATTTCAAATAATTTACTTGTATTATGGTAATGGCTTATTCTAAATTGGGCTGGGTTTTATACCTGTAAACTAGGGCACACCAACGCCCTGAGTTGGCACTGGGAGATGTAGAAGCATTTGTGTCATTGCATAAAGAAATACAAACCGGTATAGGCAGTACAAATCCATGATAAGCCTTCCAGGATCGATATATATTAAAGACCTACACATAGTAGCCTGAGAGAACTGAAACCGGCTTGGCAAATCCTGAATAGGGAAGTAGCAGATTTATAACTAATTGGTGCTACCTGGTACCACAGGACTGATCTAACTGAACCCAAATATTTGGAGAATTTGGGCGACAAGATCTTATGGTAAAAGGGATCCACCAACCAGACCACCGGGGTCACTAGAGCCACCTTAGTTGTACATTCCTTGGCTACTTCGGTAGTATGACTAGGGGTAAAATCCTAGGATGAGACCCGGAGGAAAAAGTCACATGCTATGAAAATGTGGTCCAAGGATCGGGCAACCTTCAGACCTAAGCCTGGGGACCTTGGGTCTGGGCAGACCAGTCCTTCCGAGTCATCTAGTTTGGAAGACTAACATCAGCAAAAATAAATAGGCGTAAACCTCTGCAAGTTTTTACGCGAGCATAAACTTACGAAAATTTACGATTAGTTC